CGCACACACACGCACACACACACACACACACACACACACACACACACGACAAAGTCAGATTAAAGCTACGTTAACACCAAAATTAGTTACTATAACCATAAAATTTTTATAAATTGTGAATAGCGGAGTTCACACCACAACTATAATGACACAGAGGAACGATATCACTGGAATTACATTCGGAGTGATCAACGTTTAAAATAAACATGACATTATTATCCACTGGTGTAGATGCTCATATAGTTATCTAGGGATGTGCCCGAATAGTGAATCCGGATTCGGAAAGGCACAGAAAACGAATAACGTGTTCTACAGAGCCACTAAAGGGACATGGTTAGCCGCTTGCTAGCGGTAGCCTGTTACATTACAGTACATAACATTTCAATTACCACATAAACGGAGTAAGGAGAGATGACTGATAGGACTATGGCGAATGATTTGCAGATCCTGAGCACCACTGACAAAAATCTAATCTTGTGAAATGTGTGGTAAGTACTGGCGCTCCATAGTATACACAGAGTACGTGTGATCGTGAATCTCGAAAGTGAAAGTAAAAAGCGATTTCAATGCCCCGCATGTTAATAGCGGCTTCCTGATGCCCGCAGTTTATATAAAGTATAATTACCCAATGACATACTTGCGAGAGAAAGCATTGATGTTACGTATCCGGTCCATGAACTTCCGTCTGCTAGCCATCAGAGGTCACCCTTTCCATTTTCATTGACTCTCGCACGACACACTGTTGCATATCACCCCGGACTACATATCCCATCATTCATTTCACTGATTGCACACAGCACTGATTGCACACAGCTGTTTCATATCACTCACTCACTATTTAACACTCAATCTCACTCCTTTCTAACTGCCGAGTATTGTTTAGCGCTTATCATTTGATAGCTACACTACAGAGCCCTCGTTAGTTTACCCTGCCTTAGCCTAGTCTTGCCTTGTCTGTTTTCTCGGTTTCTGATCCTTGCCTAGTTTCCTGGATTTATCCCTTTAGTCTTGCCCTTTTGATTCTGTTCGCCGTTCGTTGACCTTCGCTAGCCCTAGGATTATTCTTGTGTCTTGCCCCCCATATACCTGTTTTGCCATTGGTCGACCCTGCCTGTGTTTCTGATCTCTCTGCTTAATAAAGCTTGCACATGGATCCGCATGTCTCACGTCTCGTCAGCCCCGTAACAATTGAAATATATATTTTTTCCTCCCATTTCATATTTATTCCCTTTAGGGCTTCCGTAGAACACGTTATTTGTTTTCTGTGCCTTTCCGAATTTGGATTCACTATTTGGGCACATCCCTATAGTCATTATCATTATAGTTAAAGTTATCGTCATTACTTTAATAATTAAGTAAATTAAGAATTATCATTCTTACCATTATAGCTAGTGTTAAAGTAATTGTTATCATTGTAGGCATAGTTGTCAGTGTTATTGTTATAGTTATTGTTAGTTATGGTTATCATTATAGTTAGTTATTGTTAAAGTTATCATTAGTTATTGTTATAGTTTTTATAGTTATCATTATAGCTGTAGTCATTGTTATAGTTATTCTAGGTATCTTTACCATTATAGTTATTGTTATAGTTATAGTTAACATTAGTAATCGTTATATTTATCATAGTTCTCACCATTATTGTTACCATTATAGTCAGTGTTATTGTTATAGTTCACATTGTTATTATAGTTATTGCTATAGTTTTTATTATGTTTATAGTCATTATCATTATAGTTATCAGAATTATTATATTATTGTTGTAGTTATCATTTTAGTTCTCACTATCATTATTGTTATCATTTTAGTTATTGTTATAGTTTATAGTTATTGTTTTTGCTGTGATTGAGCCTTAAATGCAGATAACCACAGTGGGTTTCTGGCTTAGAGAAAAAAATTGTCAAATGTCAACACATTGCAAGTTGTAAGTTCTGTTCAGCATATTTTATATATTCTAGTGTTTGTTTCAGGCTTTATTCATGTACGAGAGTGTGTGTTTAACCTGTTATCATCAGCATTGAGAGTCGTTCTGTTTCTTTCCCAGGTGATGTTGGCCTCTGGGATGCTGCTGACGGCGCAGTGAAATCGAGCAACGCCACCCTCGTCCACACTCATGGATTCTGGGTGCGTGTGGAATTTGGGAAGTGCTGAGAGAGAAGACAAATGCTCAAGTTACAGATGCTCAAATCACTCCAGATACAGACCCTAAACCCCTCTAAAGCCACCAGCAAACCACATTAGGCTGGTTTAAGCAGGTGAATCAACTCTTGATGTTTCTCCTAAAAAACACCCAGGATAGTAAATTAAACCTCTAGGAGAAGCTATTAAGATATCACAGTGCTTTTTCTTTCTGAAGCTTGTCTGAAGCGTGTTTGTGTCACTCACAGGCCAGCTGCACGTGTGCTTTGCGGCTGATGAGCAGCCCGTATCGGTTCTGCGCCGCACAGTCGTACTCGCCAGCGTCGCTCTCGTCACCGTCGCGCCGTTTCTGGAAGTTCCGGATCAGGAGCGTCCCGTTATCCAGCACGGCCGCTCTGGCTCCCAGAGGAACGGGAACGCCGTTCCGCCGCCAGGTGATGGTGATAGGCCCCTCCCCCTCTACCTGACAGTCCAGCATGAGGGGGCGGTCCCTCACCGCGATGACATCACTGGGTTCTTTGATGAAGGCCAACTCTGAAGCTCCGCCCAAACCTGAAGGACCAGAGCAGGAGAGCGTGATGATGAGGAATAAAACACAGAGAGACATGCATCTGAATAATCTCAGAGCAACTGATGCTTACGAACGATTCATGATGAGGAGGAGGAGGATGATGATGAAGATGGTGGTGATGATGATGATGATGATGATGATGCATCACGAGAGATGATGAAACCTTGATGGAGGAAAACTGTTACTCACATAACATCAGATATAACATAATGCAGCAGAACCGATACAGAACTACACAAGTAAAGCTTAATAATCATATCAGATTAACTATTTTTAAATTCAGTATTTTTAATTAAATATATTTACTGCAAAAAGTGATGTTTTCCTCAGTCAGTATTTTTCTCTTGCGTTCCAGCACAAATATAAACTTTCTTAAATCTAGATACATTTACTGGAGAGGCAAAATGACACAAGTTGTCTTGTTTTTTTGAGAAATTGGGAAATGAAGTGAGTTTATGATTAGGACAAAAACAAATATCTGCCAAAGAGGTGAGAAAAATGAACTTAATTAAAAGGTTGAATTTTCTGATCCCATTGGCAGATATTTATTCTTGTTAAGCATAAATGCACCCCAAAAAAACAACAAACAAACAAGCACACACACACAAACATAACATTTATACAGTTGTTAAAGTTTTTGGAAAAGGGGTGGAAAATTTACTAAAGTTTTCCAAAAATCTTGGAAAGTTTCCAAAAAACTGCTCTTTTGCAACCCTATTGGCAGATATTTATTCTTGTTTTAAGCATTAAAAAACGTACACGCAATAAAACACATACACACATATGTAGTTGTTTTTTTGGTGTTTGGCTTAGTGTTATGTTAGAATCATTATTATACTCTTATACCTTTTGTTCTTTAATAATTTGAATTGTTTTTAGCTTTATTTTTTGTTTTTCATTTAAATGTTAAGTTTTGAAATTTTGTTGTATGCATATGTCATTTTTATTTAATTTCTTTATTTTTAAAATGTGTATAAGTAGTATTTATAAAGTTTTAGCTTTTAGTTTTGGATCTGTTTTTAGTTGTTTTAATACTACAATTGATTGCTTCTGTTGTCCTCATTTGTAAGTCGCTTTGGATAAAAGCGTCTGATAAATGACTAAATAAATAAATAAAACAACAAACAAAATGTTTATCCAGTTGTTACAGATTTTTACAGTTAAAATTACACTTACTGCCAGTAAGTATAAGAAAGTGTTATGAGAAGTATATAGAAAGTGTTAAATGATCTGATATTAGCTGTTGACTTGGAAATGTGGGTTTTTGGTTCTTCTGGGTCTAAGCTCAGCTCTTTTGATACTATCGATCATTTTATCTTATTGAGAAGATTGGAGGAGTATGTTGGTATTAAGGGAACAGCCTTAAGCAGGTTTTCATTCTATCTTAAGAGAAGATCTTTTTCAGCTTTTTGAAGGTCTCTGCTGCATGTACATGTGGGGTATCGCAGCAGGGTTCTGTTTTAGGACCTTTTTTGTTTTCCCTCTATCTTCTTCCTTTAGCCAAGATGTTTTGTAAGCATCAGATCTCATAGCATTTTCATGGAGATGATATACAGCTTTATCTTCCAATGAAACCAGATGAGAACTAAATGACTCTATGACTGAAGTGTTGGTTTTGGGACAGCCTGAATGTGCTGTCATCCTTTCCAGAACCCTGCATCCTATAACTAATACTGTAGGCACTTGTGCTTGGAATTTGGGTGTTATTTTTCACTCGGCTCTCAAATTGAATAAAAAGATTGAAATTCAGTTGTTAAATCAGCATTGTTTTGGCTTAGGATGGTCCAAAATGCTGCGTCCAGGGACCAAATAAAGTGATCGTTATAGTTATCGATATCATTGACAGATATTTGTTCTTGTTTTAAGCATAAAAACAGACCTCAAACATTGAGTAAAACCACAAACAAAATTTTAAACTCCATGAAGTGCATTTTAAGAGTTCAAGTGCCATTTGAAATTCTCTTCTAAAATGAGCATTTTTATTAGACTCCATGTGTAGGCTGAGTAATTTCACTTTAATGGCAATCAATAGGTTCTTTTCATTGCCACTAAAGTGAAATAACTGAACATAAACATAAAGCCTGAGAAAAATGCTCATTTTAAAAGAAAATTTCAGACGACACGTAGAGGCTTTTGCATCTGAACTCTTCATTTCTGAACAGATATTTGGACTTTACTGTTGTGTTTAAGCCTATGCAGTACTAATGCAGCGATTAGGTCTGTGCATTTTTTAAATGCTGTAATTAAATTAATGCATTATGTACAGCACTTTGGTCAGCTAAAGTTGTTTTAAATGTGCTTTAGAAATAAACTGAACATTGAACATATTCACAAGTTTATTTAGTCCTCAAACACACTCTTGCATCAGTAGATGGTGTTTGTCTTGTGCTTGAGTTGCTTATGTGATGGAGGCAGGGCTGGTTGGATTTAGAGCATCTTAAATCAAAGTGATTCATCTCCACTGAACTTAAACTTGACTTTGGGCCGTCTGATTGATGGCTCTTTCAGAAGCACTCACACAAACACACACAAAAGCCCAAAACAGCCACACAATGCGACCCCACCCCACCCCCCCACAAACACCTCCGCCCCGTGGCGCAGCGCGAGGGTGACTTTCCCATGCCACCGCATCAGTCAAACGCGCCGCACGCCGCCCCTCGCAGCTGCCAAACACACAACAAAACACTCCGGTCACACTTGAACTTGAAGGCGCTCGCACGGAAAAACCAGACTCATGCACCTCTGCGCTTGTCTGGCATCTGGACCGGAGTCTGACCTCAGAACATGAGCCGGGTCTCCTCAGACCAGATGAACTTCAGTCTGTCCATCAGACTCTCTCTGACAGGAATTAAACGCAAACCTCATCAAATTCTCACACAGGATCCAGAGAGCAGCTTCTGCCTGGAATCATGGGACTTAACAGACATTCCCAAGAATGCTAACCAGTGTTGGGGAAAGTTACTTTTAAAAGTAATGCATTACAATATTGCGTTACTCCATAAAAAAGTAACTAATTACGTTACTTAGTTACTTTTTATGGAAAGTAATGCGTTACGTTACTTTTGCGTTACTTTTTAAATCTGGACAGGGCTTGCTTGTTTGTTTTTAAAATAAAAAAGTTATATTTTTGGCAAATATAAAAGCCTTTTCACACCAAAAGTAAAATGAATAAGCCTCAGGCTGAAGGGAAAGTAAATTTACGTCCGTACAGTAGAATGCAGAAGAAGAAATTTCAACACACTTCAGCAATAAAAAAAGACACACAAATGTTTGTCTAGAGTTATTTGTGCTTATTAGTACGGTTGAACTGGATCATCGAAGGTGAGAAGCAAAGACTTTGGTTAAAAGAATGGGATTAAATACATAAAGGATATTTGTGTTGTTTAACATTTAATTATTGTAGGTTTGCATCCTATTCTGAGTTGCATTATTTTTATTCATTTTGAGGAATACTGAATCTGTGTTTTGTTTTGTGAGTGAGATGAATTAATGCATATTCATATTTATTTTAGAACTACAGTAACATCTTCTGATTTCTCTCAACATGGGGAGAGCTGTCAATCAAAAAATTGGGGAAAAAAAGTAACTTGCGTTACTTATTTGAAAAAGTAACTCAGATATGATCTTGTAAATTAAAAAGTAATGCGTTACTTTACTAGTTACTTGAAAAAAGTAATCTGATTACGTAACTTGCGTTACTTGTAATGCGTTACCCCCAACACTGATGCTAACTATAACTATAAAGATAACTAATAACAATAACTAAAACAATATAACTGTATTAGTGTACACACAAATGGGCAACCCAGGCTCATTCGAAATACGTGCATCTAAATGCATTTCTGCAGCACCGTTATTATGTACCTCATAGCACGTTTCGCTACAGTTTCAAAGTGAAACGTCCAGTGAGTGGCGCAAAAACGCAGGTTCAATACGTGACCCTGGCACCTATTTGTTACGTTGATATAGGAACTTATTGTTGTGTTTGTATTAAGTTGCTTCAGGTACGTATTGCGGTGGTTCATAATTCAAATATTCGCGGAGTGTCGCTAAAACTTAATGCTCTATCATGTTGGAAATATCCCCTACACCAAACCCAACCCTAAACCTACCCGATAGTGTTAACAAATGCAAAAGTGATATAAAAAGGCATTTGTTAATGCAGCCGTGTTATTTTAACTTCCTTTTGTGGATTTGAGCTGTTTTGTCGAACCGTTTTCAAATCTCGCAGCATGTTAACATTGTTTTGAATTCATAACATAATATTCCTCAAGTAATTATGCAAAAATTAGGCTTTATTAATCGAAACTGTGGACCTGTAAATGTGTGAAAAGGAATAAAGATTGTGGGAGTTTTACTGCCTCTAGTGTTCATTTCAACTGGAAACTGCAGCGATTTGTATGTATAGGTATGTTTTTTGAGTTTCGCAGAAATGTAGGTAGAGGCATGTATTTCCAATGAACCTAGGTTGCAAATGGGCAATAACTAGTATAATGAAAACTATAAGAACAACTACAATCATAACTAGAACAATAATGATAAATATGACAATAACGATAACTATAATAATAATAATGATGACTATAACTATATTGGTGTCCACTCAAACAGACGGTAACCTAACAAAAGCTACAACAACAAACATAACAATAACTACAATCATAATGAAAACTATAACTATAATCATAATGATAACTATAATCATAAATATAAAGATGACTATAACTATATTAGCATCCAAACAAACAGATGATAACTATAACAATAACTATAATCATAACGATAACTATAACTATTAGCGTCCAAACAAACAGACAATAACTACAATCATAGTGATATCTATAAATACAACAACTATATTAACGTCCACACAGACAATAACTATAACGATAACTATAATCATAACGATAACAATAAATATAACTATATTAGTGTCCAAACAAACAGAGAATAACTATACCAAAAACTAACTATATTAGTGTCTACACAAGACGATAACTATACCGAAAACGAACAATATCTATAATCATAACTAGAACAATAACTATATTAGCATCACACAAACTGATGATAACTCTTACGAAAACTAAAACATGTACTGATAACAATAACCATGCTTGCATCCACACCAATGAAAAATAACTATAACAATAGCTATAATCATAACGATAAATATAACCATAACTATGACAATAATTATAACAGTAACTATAATTGCGCCTGAACCAACAATAACTATAACAACTACTATATTAGTATTCACACAAATGGACAATAACTATAACCATAACTATAATGATAACTATAACTACAGTTATCATCTGTTGGTGTGAACCGAAATGTAGTTATAACGATAACTATAACAAGAACTATTACGATATTTATAACTATATTAGCATTCACTGGACGATAACAATTACCGTAGAGACAACTATATTAGCATCCAGGATGATAATGTTCTGTTTATTATAACACGCTGCAGTTTTGACATCTGCCGCTCTAAATGCTTGCGCACTTTAAAGTCAGATGGATAGTGATTGTACGGTATCCCACAATGCAATGCAACTCATTTGATCAGACTTTGATCAGACTTAAAGTTTAAGGCATTTTAATGCAAACAGTCTGCGTTGAGAGCTGAATTAAACAGCACACTGCTGTTGAACACTATAGAGTGCGCACTATGCAGTAAGTGTACTATGGTTAGGCCCAGAACTGTGCTGGATCAGATTCAGTGATGCTTGCTACATGAACTCAAACTCCAGAGACTTAGTAACTTTGAATGCTGTAGTGTTTGAATGAGACGGACTGGAGCGTCTGAAGCTGCAGCAGTTTTCTGCTCACAATAGCAGCCCATCCTCAGCCGTAAACACTGGATAAACGGGTTCAGAGAGCAGCTCCACCCCCATCGGCACACCGTGACCTCAGATCCTAAAGGTCATGAGAGAATCCGCCGCTCCTCCTCCCGCTTTCTTCATTGTCTCTGGAGTGGCCGTGAACTTCAGCGGCCAATAAACACGTCAAAAACGCCATTAATGCTGTCTCTGTGGCATCTGCTGCTCAGACGAACAAATCTGAATGTCAAATATTCGTCTGTGTGACCATGTGACCCGAGGACAGAACCACACTTAGGCTATTTATGAGGAAAACGGCGTCACAGGCCGTAGTCAAATGTGTTGAATCTATTAGTGAAACCTCACAGATCCTCTCAATCCAATAACACTAGATCACTAGAACACACCATCAACAAAAATACCACAGTTGACAGTACCATTTTTATGCTTTTTGAATGTGTATAATTGTTAATACTGGCATTACCAATATGTAATATTGGTAGCACCATGCAAATATCATAATATATGAATATGGTATTGATTCAAGTAAGGTCAAATGTATTTGTACAGCACTTTTCACGTTGCTTCACGGCTTCTTTATAGAAAACCATGATGTTAATGTTTATATTATCTTAATATCTTCACGCATTATAATTGCATTTATCAGATTAGGGCTGTTTTCATAAATACGCAACCATTCAAAAGTTTAGGCCAAGTAAGATTTAATAAAAAAAATTAATTAATACTTTTATTCATCTAGGATGCATTAAATTGATCAAAAGTGACAGTATAGCCACTTATAATGTAAAAAACGTTTTTTATTTCTGATAAATGAAATATTTTATTTTTGAACTTTCTAATCATCTGTGAATCCTGAAAAATAAAATGTATCAATTATTGTGCAGCACAACTGTTTTCAACTGATAATAATCAGAAATGTTTTCTGAAGATCATGTGACACTGAAGACTGGAGTAATGATGCTGAAAATTCAGCTTTGATCACAGAAATAAATTACAGTTTAACAGATATTCACACAGAAAACAGCTGTTTTAAATTGCAATAATATTTCACAATTTTTACTGTATTTTTGATCAAATAAAAGCAGCCTTGGTGAGCAGAAGACACTTCTTTCAGAAGCATTAAATAATCTAAATTATTCCAAACTTTTATCCAGCAGTGTGAGAGTCACATGTTTTGATAATGACGTGATTCCCAGACTTTATTTTGTGTGGTTTGAGAGTTTAATCGCTGCTCTATTATTGTCAGGATGAGGATGGAGTGAATGCGTGTATAGAGTCGTCTGTCCTGATTCTTCACGCGTTCAGACTCTCAGCGGGAGAATCGAGCGTCTAATGAGACTTACAGCGGCTCGTCTGTCTCAATTAACACTCATTAATGAGAGTGAGACATCAAAACTATGAGTACTGCTGGAGTTTGTGTGACTGATATTCTATCATACGCGCATTTCATATTATGCTTGTGTGAGTGTGTGTGTGTGTGTGTGTGTGCGTGTGAGAGAGAGTGTGTGTGTGTGTGAGAGAGAGAGTGTGTGTGTGTCTTCACTAACAAATTATCATATTCATGACACTGATCTGGTTCCCACAGTGCTGAATAGATTCTGGTGCTAAGTAGGAAAATGAATCAGTTGCTGCTCACGTGTGTGTGTGT